TTAGTAAGTGTACGTTTTGCTACCGAGATTTTCATAATCTCATTCCCCAAAATTTATTAACCATGTCAGGGCCAGCTCAAGTAAAGACAAAGGAAAAGCTAATGAAGTTTGAAATCTATGGATTTATCCTAAAAATAGTTTTGTGTAAATATTAGAGTATGTGTGTTTTAAGTTTGGCCTGTAAACTTCTAAATGGTGCAGTTGTAATATGACATAATGTGCTTCTGGACCATGTTGAGTTATTTTGGACTGGTTTGTAATGGCCAAAACACAAAAAGTCAACCTAGTTGTAAATAAATGACTGTGTAAGTTAAAAATGCGTATGTTTCTTATAACAGAGTTTTTGTGTTGATATTGACTTTTAGAAAAACCATAAAATTCTATTACTAGTTAATAGACATTTTAAGCTTTCAAATGATACTTAGATCACGTTATTTGAGTCAGTAAATCTTGAGATATGATTTTTCAAATATACAAGTCCAGAAATAAGAATAAAGCATTAGGTCCAGAATAGAGATTAGGTATCAACGTAAAAACTGTATTAATAGGGCCATGAAAAATTCAGCTAAATATTTTTCTAATATATTAGACTTATCCAGTTTTCAAACAAATCAAAAATCACATAAAAACGTGTTTTCTAGAATTAATGGTGAATTTTCAAAGTTTACATAGGAATTCTGAAATAAGCTAAGTGTCCAAACTGAATAATTAACTTGCACGAATTAACTGTATAAATTGGGCTGAGACATGTTCAGTTTAATATTTTTCTTTTATTAACAACACTTTGAGATTTCCGAAAAGCCCAAGATCATAATATTTGGATCTCTACAACTTTAGATATTATTTTTCCAAGTGAAGGTATAAAAATCTGGATCCAAACAATAGACAAACATAGGTGTTGTTAAGAAATAAGAAAGTAGTAGCAAACGTACAGGTTCAAGCCCTTTTATACAATTATGTTTTCTAGCTAAATCATAGGCACTTCATTTGAATAAGAGTAAATCAAATTATATAGTCTTTTAAATATATATATATATATAATAAAATCTGAAAAGAAGATAAATTAAATTTTCCTAAGTTCATGGAATAAATTATAAGGGATATTATTTGTAATCTAGTTTTGTTATATGTCACTTATAAAGAAATTGTAAGTTTGTAATACGATAATACAAGAATCCACTCAATTCAATATTTTTAGGCTTAGTTAATAATAGTATTACATGATATAATTATTAATTTTGAATGCAATTGATTCATATATAGTTCAAAGTTATTTCCTATTTAGTCCAAAAATGTAAATAATGCCTTTAGAAATGAGCTGTGACAAAAACAACTAACATTCAATATATATATATATATATATTATTTCATATGTTGTACAATGTGAAAAGAATTATACAAGTATGTGGTTATTTGTTACTTAGTTTTGTTGGCATGGAATGAAAATTTTTTCAAACATTTATATGATTTATTTTTAGAAGTTAATGCTTCCCATACTATGCACGGGTGAGTCAATATAATGCTACTGTATATAGTAAAGTTAATATCACAGTATAGTTAATATGAATCTAAAACTAGAAAATGAATAGAATTCTAAATTTGAATATATTTAATTAAAATATATTGATAGTGAATATTCTTTGAATTTTATTAATATTAATATATAAATGATATATATCATAGTTTTGTTGGTATGGAGTGGGACTTTTTGTGCCATGCGCCCCGGTAGGCATGTCAATGCATCACGGTGCATATGCAAAATCAACACTTATCAGTTTGTGAAAACATATCGAAAACAAAAGAGAGAAAGAAGGAAAAATGAGAGAGCAACAGAGAGGAGCTCTTGGTCTGCTAGAGCATGATCCCTAGACTATTTTGGAAGCATTTAAAGCTTGAATCAACATTGGGTAAGTTGCACATTCTCTCTTCTCCCTCTTTTATGCGAAAATCTGGATATTTAGGGCAATGGGAGCTTTGATTTTGGTTTCCTTAGATTTAGACCGAACTCATTGTTTTATTTATGGTCTTGGGGTGTTAAATCAAGCCTCTAACCCTAAGTTTATGAGTTTTATGGTGATTGAAAATTTTTTATAAGGGTTTTGATAAACCCTAGGTATAATTTGAAGATTTTAAGATAATGTAGGATATTGGTTATTGATTTTAGTGTGTGGGGATATTTGATAGGATGGTTAGAGTGTTTGGGAATTGTTGATGTTGTTAAAAAAGGAATTTGGTATTTTAGACACTCAAAAACTAGTGAATTCAGAGTTATCCGGAGTGATAATTAATGGTTGTCACTTGATTGTGTAAATTGAGCATTGCTCAAGCCATATCGTGCATATAGAATATGTAGAACTAACGTTGAGCCACGATAAGCCTTTTGTATGACAAAGGATTGAGGTAACAATATAGTTTATTGTATTTATTAACTATTATAACTATGTAAAAGTAAAACCAAATTGATAAATTTGTGGTTTAAGAATTTTATGCATGATTTGATATTGAAAAATGATTTTTAGCATAAACATTTGGTTTGTGAAATGGATTTTTAAAAAGTCATTGATTCCAATAGATATGTGTGTCTATATATATATAATATGAAAGTAAATGTTGTGAAAATGTGAATAAGTAGTTATAAGTGTGAAAAAGCATGATCATAGGGGGTGAGAGTTCACCCAAGATATGTGGGGATGTGTGTGTGTGAAGATATGTGAGTAAAAAATTCATATGATCGGACTGGCACCATAGGGCATCCGATGCAGCATTATATGAGACTATTACCATAGGATATCTAGATAGTCTGGCAACTCCCTAGTACCCGTTAGGGTGTAGTTAGGAGTCAACGATGCCTCTATCACAAGTGTGTGAAGAGGGAAAAACCATAGTCTATAGGTGGGTTAGATTACCTTTGGCCGGGTATTTCTACCATTAAAAGTGTGCTTGGGTCAATAAGTGGTTGATCCAGGAGAGCCTATGGTTTTATGTCGGAGAGCATTGGAGGTTCGATGGTTAGATGATCATGCTAGTGTGAAATTGTATGGAATTGTTGTGAAAAGATGCACTTATCTCATAAATATAATACACTTGATATTACTATAGTTTTGATACCTTATCATGGTTATTTGTGGTAATAAACATTTGATAAACTATATTAGTTACTGAGATGCTTATCTCACCTATGGTTATATTTTACAAGTGACGGCTCTGGTAAGGGCAAGGAGAAAGAAGGAGCATTTGAAGAGTGAAGAGCATAGCTGTATAGCTCTTCCCTTTTCTTCTTTTTGGGTATTATAATGAATATTGTCAATATATAATGCCAACTTAGGAACATGACATTAATTTGGATATCACTTGTATGGTTTTGTTATAAGTGTATGTATCCTGATCCAAGGTTAATGTGATGGATTGTGTGTGTGTGTGTGTGTTGGGCAAAGTTAGAATTACAAGGGATGAATTTGAAGTAAATTATAAGCCTAAAATGACCAAATTGATGTGTGTGCTAAATACAATCCACCCCTTTATATTATTGTCAAATGGGGGTTTGATGATCATTTTGAACATAATTGCTTATTTGTGTGATATAAATGAATTATCATATTGTGTGTGGTCTATTTAAGGTAGTTAAAGTGTCTCTGGGACTAATGGCATTTAGTATTGTGAGTTGGACACCATTGTGTGTGTTTTAAGGTGAAAACAAACCATTTTAGGTTTGGGTGTCTATCTTTTAAACGGATAATTGTTTGAGTGTAAAACTAGTGCCATTAGCTAGAGGGCTTAAAGAGCTTCGTGTGAACACTTACCACTCAAATCGGACATCGGATGATGAAATGGTGCGCTCTAAAAGTTCGGAGGGCTGTCATGATAGCAATATGCTATCATGATAGTAGGTACGCACCGCGGCGCAAGAGGCCTTCGAGGGACTCATCCCTCTATGCCATTTGCCATGGTGGATAGGCCAGAATTTTTGAAAAGTGGCTTGTTTTAGCCTAATTCGATGTGATTTGATTTCCATGCTTTCATATTTGTTCTAAATTGATTTTTTTCAACCATGGTTTGAGCTCAAATAATATTTTAAAAAGGATTTTCTTAGGATCCAAATGTTTTAAACTAATTATCTTTAAACCCTTGAGTTGTGATAACTTCTTTATGGGATTTTATTTAATCCTAATTATCACAACAATGTGTATGAGCGTTGTCTTAATAATGTCAAGGAGGACATTACAGTATGTTCTGAGTAGATAGCCCAAGTAGACATAGAGTTGCCACAAGGAAAATGTACAATGTCTCAGGGTAATAGGTTTACTATGAGCCTATACTTGAACGATGGGTGAAAGGGCTTATTATTAAGCCTGATGATACCAATTACAAGTTGCTTAAACAAAATTATGAGTTAAAAATTGTAGCAAATGCGGTTGGGTCTTATATTGTGTGGGCTAAGCATCTTGTTTTGTTGGGAGTAGAAGAAACTCCACTATAAGTATGCCATTAAATTACACTATCTCAATTCACATTCCAATTATAGTCAATTCAAATTCTAATAATTGATGTTAATTAGTACCTAGTCCAAAAGGAATGACCCCCAGACAATCAAGTCAACTATTAAAAATTGATAAACTATCGACCTCTAAGCTAGCACTAGTAGATGTTCCTTCTCCTTTTCCAAAGACAAATCAAAATATGCTAGCAAAGTATGTGTAATTGGCCAAGTATGTAATGACTCTAAATTTTGAATTTAATAAATTTCTCTACTAATTGATATTTTATTTAATTGTTCTAATTTAACAAATAGATGGTGGTTATTTATTAGAATTTAAGCCAGCAATTTACAGGAAGATTCAAAGTTCAAATTCTCTTAAGTAGTAGGCTAATTTTATTTTATTATGGTTAAAAAAATTTAAAAAAAAAAAACAAAACAAAACAAAGACAAAAACAGAAAGAAAAATACCTTGTCTCTTATAATATAAAAAGAAAAAAATTTGGGTTCATCCTTGTAATTTTCTCAATCCTCCCTTTTTAAGTCAAATTTTCTTCTTCCTCTGTCATTTTAACGAGAGAGCCGACGAGAGAGAGGCAGAGAATTCTGGAAACTTTCATCTCTGTCCTTCTTCGTTCCAGCATGTCCACCGACTTGGGTATACAATCACCATGATCGACTAATGCTAAGGGTCCATGCGTCGTCTTCTCCGTCTTGTTTCACAGCGTTCATTATTGGTAATCTTTGCCTAACTCGTTCGTCCGTTCTTCATCCGCGTCGTCGACTGTTCTTTTTCTTCTCTGCTCTTCTCTGTTTATGCGATGGTTTTTCCTTCTTCTTGCTTCAAGTTGCTGCTGCATTTGTGGGTGTGGCTATGGCTGTGGGGGCATCGAAATTCTTCCTTCCATGCTTCACATCACCACTGTCGTCTCCCCTATTTTGCGTCACAAATTGCTCAACTTAGCTAGTCGTCCAACTTGTCTGTTCATCGCCGTCGCTACTGGAGTTTTGTCCATCCATCATTGCAGGTGGTTCCGGTAAGTGTTTGGCCATTTTCTGTCGTTACTTTGGCATCTTCGTTAAAACTGTAATTCCTTCATGCTTCCCCTATTCGGTGCTGTTATCTTCCCTCTCTCTCCTTCCTTTATGTGTCGTTAATGATCTAAGGTTAGGCATTTCAATCCTCCTCTTCCTTGTTGCTTGGTGTGCATTGTTGGCTGAGATTATAGAATTTTCTCCTTCCTTTCTTTGCTGCTGAAAGTAACGTGAATGGAGATTTAATTTTATTTGAGCATTAAAGTGGATTTATGTTGAAGGAGAAGCTTGGTTAATCCTAAGTTGCCATTGAAATATGTGTGTGTGTGTGTGTGTGTGTGTGAAAAATGGTTGTGAATTTTCCCTTATTCAACTACCGTATATGATTGTGCAGGGAGGGGATTGGATTAATCTGAAATCTAAAACTTAGTTAAACATTTTCATTAAATAATTCCAGTATGGTTTTTTTTTTGGGTTATGATTAATGAAGATGAATGTGAGTTTGGGTTTTACTTTTAAAGTTAAAAGCTATTTTTCCTGTTAAAAAGGAGGGGGATTTGAGGAGCTTGTTTCATCTATATATTGATATTTGGAAAAATGTTGGGAAGCATAATAATTGAGGAAGAGGTTTAGTATTTATTTGATTTTGGATGCATATAAAATTTTTGCAAAAATGCTTGAAAGAAAGTTGAAATTAGAAGTAGAGGTTTTAAAGAGAATATTTTCATTAATAATTCAAGTACCAAATTTCTATTTATGTATTGATGTTTGAAATATCTATGTAAGGTTGTGGCAATGTTGGGAGGAAGTTTTTGGATTTGTAGGAAGCCTAATAAAATTTTATTGTATATGATAAGGCAGTTGGAAGAGAAAAGGGACATATTTGGTTTGGAGGTTAATTATTTATGGCATTTACTTGAGTTTGGTGAAGAATTTTGACTGTGAAGCTACTGTGAGACAAACTAGATATTGGGGCATTGTATGGTTGATGATTATCAATGATAAATTATTTACTCGTTACCAAGAAGGATGGTATGAGTGCAACATAAGGGTATCATTATTGGCTAGCTAGAGAAAGAAATAAAATATTTTAAATATGGTTGCTGGGCTAGGGACAAATACTGATTTAGAAAAATTTGATAATTTCTAGATAAGATAATAGGTTGATTACTTTTATTGGTAGTATATGAAGTGGAGTTATCATTAAATAAAGTTATTCATTCTTCTTATTTAGGTAATTAGAGTAGCCAAAAGGCAACTGAGAGATGTTCAAAAGGAGTGAATTTTCATCTTGCTAGCTTTTCAGGTAAGTGGATAGCGTCCCAACTGATTTGTTTAATCAAAATTTCTTTTACCAGAATATTACGTTTTTCTGGAAATCATTTTAATAGTATTAATGCGATTATTGGATATTTGTTTATTAACATTACTTTATTTTGAGAAATTAGCTTTATCAAATTTGAAATATTATTTGATCAATTAAATTAAGTTTGGACTTTGATTATGAGATTTTTATTTTATCAAATATTAGATTGATATAGAGAATGATTCATGCGAGTTCGACTTTGAAATTTTTGATTATTCAATAAATGCAAGCATGAGCATTGGATATGAAATTTGCTTCTGGCAAGTTTTAATGTTTAAAAGTATTCATGCGAGTTTGATTTTGAGAATGAGAACTGTATCTTAAAAGTGATGATTTTCTCGCATGTTTGAAAATGGTTTTAAAAAGGGACTTTATATAGAACACTGGTTGTTAACGACAGTTCCATTAGCCCTTGGCGCGCCATGGTACACCTAGCTAGCAGGGTGTGTATAGGAGGTGCTAGCCCCGTGCAATGGCCAACGCACGTGAAACGGAGGGATGGTTATTCGTGAGCATAGTACTCACGTTTGTTTCGTGGCTTCAAGCTGCGTTTGGTTAGCAATACCCTCGTGGACTGTGTGTTCATGTTTGTTTCGTGGCTTCGGCTGCGTTTGGTTACTTACCCTCGTGGACTGGTGTGTCCACGTTTGTCTTTGTGGCATAAGCCGCGTTTGGTTATTTATTCCCGTGGACTGTGTGTCCACGTTTGTTATTTGTTCTGATAAGTCCCTATAATTATGAGTTTATAATTATTTTATGCAATTATTTGCTTTATTGGAAGTACATGATAATGACATTTAATATGATATTTTAATGAATCAAGAATTTATTTAAAGTTACATAAGTCCTTTTTGACGAAGTTTATTATATATTTGTTTGCACAAAATTTTTATTTCTAACACACATAATTATGTTAAACTTTCTTTTTATACATATTTAGTTATTTATTGTTGGGATGCTATTCACTGGAAACTTATTTGGTCTCAGATTTGTTAACGGGCACTGATCCTACTGTTGACATTTAAAAGGGCGAAAAATTGATCTGGGTGGTGGCATTTCACTTTATCTCCTTTTGACATAAACATTTGAACTGATGTATTTTATTTTGAAAGTAAGGTTAGTTAGCTCCATATAGCTTATAGCTAAATTTCTATTATGGTATATGTCGTTTGCTGGTTGGAAGGAGTTGAGTTCCTGATTAATATTATATTTTGTGTAAAATATTGACAGAAAAAAAAATTTTGGAAGATCCTAATTACTAGGAAGATTCTATTGAAATTTCAGTACAAATTCAACTATGTTTAAAAAAAACAGAGAAGATTTCTCAATTTAGGGCTTAAGGGATGTGTGATATGGTCCACATCCTGTGCCGGTCAACCTCTATTTTTGGGGTGTGACAAAGTACATGGTGGCACAATTTGTACTGCCAAATGATGACATGTATTGAAAAGAGGTTGTTGAGATCATTGACTTTGACATTATCAATACTGTCTTAATGCGCAATGAGGTCATCTACAGACCAATCAACATTTATATGAGGTACTTAATTACTCTTCCCATTCACAGTTCTAGCTATTATTTTTATTCATATCTACTTATGTCAATTTCTTCATTCAGGTACTTGTACGATACCTTCATCATCCCTAGTAACTTGGGATTGAGGTTTATGTTTGTCAATCCCTATAAGTTCCCAAGTTTTGAAGGTAATCAGAAGGATAAGCATTTGCAATAGCAATCTTAAACATCAACTACGTATTTCAAGGAAAGATCAGCTTCAAAAGGGATGTTGTTTTTTATTCCTTATCTGAATGGGTGAGTTACTTAGTTTTCTAATGCCCTAATTGCAATTCATTATCTTTTTCAAATTTCAATTGTAACACACATCATCCAATTGTCCCAAGGGATACTAGATGCTTATTATGATTGAGCCAGTAGATCCCAAAGCTCCAAAAGTGTATTATTTAGATCCAACTCCTTATAGTAGGGATCTAACTAACCGACCGAATATGATGAAGCTATTCAATAGGCAAGTATATTTGGTAATTATTATTTTATTTTTTTTCCAAACTTCTACCTTTCTAACATGTTTATCTTCCTTATATTAGGGCTATTATGCTATATCGCATTAATGTAAATCTTCTGAATAAGAGGTCATTCAAGGAATACAAGGATGCCATTGAGTGCAATGTAATATAAGTATGTTTAAATTATTACCAATTATTCAATTGTTTCATTTTTTTATATCAACAACAATCATGATTGTAGCTACTGTGTGATGAGGTATGCTAATGACATCATCACTCATGGGCAGCTTATAATCCCCCTCACAGTATCTATCATTTTTTATCAATTATTTTTATATTATAATGAATATTAATTGTCATCAACTAACTTCATTATCATGTATGTTGTAATATTATCCAGACTATGCTACTCCTCATTTTAAAGATACCCATGGTAATGAAATCATCTAAGAGTAGAGTGAATATGCATATGAAAAGTGGATCATATCTAACACGAGGTGATAATGCAACATCCTAGTTTTTAATTCCCTAATTTACTAAGCTTAATTAGAAAAATTAAGTAAATTATAGTGGTGTGTGGCCAAGGAGGTCTAATAATCATATTCGATTGTATTTCAGCCCCAATTGTAGGTTCGGTATTAAGTTAGGCTACCCAGGCATCAAAAGGAGAAGAAAATGGAGGGTTAATATTGCTGTGCCACACATTGTGGCATGAAGAGCATCTGCTGTAATGGACAAACACTTCAAATGTGAAATGAAGACCTTTCTGTGCCATGTGCCACGGTGCATTCTGCGTTTGCCGTGGTGCATGGTCATTTTCTACAGTTTATCAGTCTCAAAATTAAGACAGAAATGGAAAGGAGAAAAAGGGGAAAATGGAGAGACGTGCCAAGTTCTACTAGGGTTCACTCTTGGATGACATTAGGAGTATTTTAAAAGCTACAAACACCCAAGGTAAGTACCACACTCACTAATCTTGTAACATTTAGGAAAATTTAATCCTGTTATATTAACCTAATGAGGGTAATTAGTGAGTTAATGATGTGTATGGTCAAAGGGGCTTAACTTGGCGTAATTATTGTGATTTCAGCCTTAGAAGTGGGTCTGGAATAATGGTGGGCTACCCAGGCAAGGAAAGGGAAAGAAAAAGTGAAGAATTATCCTCTATGCTAGATGCCGCAGCACATGGTCAGTCTGTTGCAGTGCACAGAGACAAATTTGACTAACAGGCTCCTTTGTGCCATGCACCGCGGTGGAAGGCAGCGTGCATTGCAGTACATAGGCAAAATTTTTAATAAATCAAATCGCATCTATGTGAGAAAACAAAAGAGAGAAGAGGAAGAAAATGAAGAGAACGTCAGGGTTCTACTAAGGCATGCTTATTAGCTCCCATTATTGACATTTCAAAGCTCTTAAACACCCAAGGTAGGTAATGTAAGCCTCATTCTTCCTTTCTCTCCTTCATTTATGATGAGTTATGGTAGGTTTTGAGTTAAAAGGTGGATTTTCAGTCTATAAGACTATAGGACTGATTTCATTGGTTAGAATGAGAATAATGAGAGTTGTTTAAGGTATTGGAACACCACATTGATGATTTTGGAAGTGGTTGGTCCATGGGAGCATTTATTATTCAAAAATTGATATTTATGAGGTAGTTAGGAGAGGTTTATGTGCATTAATGATGGTTTGAGGTGTTGTTAATGATAATATGCATTAATAAAATTTAAAGAGCCCATTGGGTATGAATGAGTAGTGACTATGAGTTAATAAAATAGAGTGTGTGAAGTTAGATGTTGATAAATCTTTAAGATTTAGACAATGATGGTATTCTTATGGTATGGATGTACTAAGATTCATTTTTTACACCATTTGAGTTTGTTGAAGCTTTGGGAAGTTGGTATAGTGAGGGGTAAACCTTTGACCTCTTAAAGGTTTGAGGTAACCAAGGGAAACTTAACTTTTATGGTTGAATATTAATTGTGTTTGTGAAATATAATTAATGATTTAAATGTATGATGCATGCTAGCAATGTTTGACTTATGAAATGATTTTGGAAAAGAAAATGTTGATTATGCCACTTACTTGTGATTTAAAAGTTTACTTGTAGCATGTTGTTACAAAAGTGAAAATTTGTGATATATAATATGTTGAATGTGTAGAGTAATTTAAAATGAGTATATGAGATTGTTTGCCATAAATTTATATTAAAATGCATAATATGTCATAAATGTGCTTAGCATGATCATTGGTAGGAGTTCACCTAGGGAAAGGAGTAGATTGATTTAAATCCATGTGGTATTGGTAGTGACAGTTGGAATTGGGAGCTAGCCTTAGCACCGACCGTTGAAATTGGAAGGTAGCCCTTATCCCATGGTTGATTCAGGACTGTCCCACTTGTTTTATGAAGGACTCAAACCTAACTAGTCTCCACCGATTCATGAGGAGGCTAGATTAAGGGTACGATACCCTATGGTTGTTAGTATTAAGGGAAACCAGATTATATAAGTGAGTGAGTTAACCCTAGTCTGGTAGCTCCTTACAATTGAAAGGTTAGGTTAGTCTGTGAAGGACGTAACCATGTGATAGCCATCGGTTTCATGTCGGAGGTAACAGGAGGATATAAGGTTGGCATATAATCATGCATATAAGTCTGGCCACATGGTTGTTAGTTTTGTGGTTTGATATGTGTTGAGGGCATATGGTTGTTATTTTTATGACCCTATATTATATTTTATGAAATAACACGATAAAGTGTTTTGTGGCAAGCCCAGTCACATGGTTGTTAGTTTTGTGTATCGTGGCCGAGTATTATGTCTTATTTGTGCTTATTTACCTAATTGCATATATTTACAATTGACATGCAACTTTATAGGTTAAGTGAAATTTGGTTACTGAGTAGTTGTACTTACCCCTCAATTCTCACTATTTTTAGAACCTAACTCATCGGATCTGAGTAGAGGAAAACATACAAAGGCCCAGGATTGTAGAGTAATCCTCTATATGCCTCTATTTTGTTACTTTCATGTGTATTTGTTAATGTAATTTCCAACTAGGATTATTTGACATGATTCATACACTACTTGCATGATTTTGTGTATAACTAGTGTATTTTGCGCCCTAGGTTAGAGAGTTTTTGTTGTAAACCTATGGGTAGGGCCGAAATACTTGTGTAAGTAAAAACATATGTATTTTGAAGGATTTGGAATTAAATTGATGATTTTGTGCAACATTTCCTCCCCCTTTATGTTTTGTGAAATTGGGGTTGAGTAGTGATTTTGTGATATAAGTATTTTTTGATTATGTGTGGTGCATTGCATGAGTTTGCAAGAGCCCATTGAGTGTGGTCGGATGGTAGGTGTAAGCTATTGGCACATATGGTTGAGTTGGGACATCCTATTTGTGAAATTTTGTGAAAAGTGATCAAAATAAGTTTTGATATCCAACTTTTATAGAAAATGAGTTTGAGTGTGAAACCAGTTCCATTAGCTAAAGCTAGGAGAAAGCTCCGTGTAGACATTGAAACCACCTTAATCAGACGTCGGATAGAGATTTGGGACGCATGAAAAGTTCACTCCCTATGCTATCAAATGACAATATTGGTGTTGTCAAATTTTGTGCAATACACCACGGCACATGGTGCCTCACATTGCGGTGCATGGCACAGAGAAGATGAGCCGTGGCGCACATGCTATAAGCTGTAGTGCACATGACATATTCTACATAAAATTTGTTTATGAGTTTAAAAACTCATTATTTTGGGTCCCAATTGATTTTCAAGCTTCTGCTTGACTTTTAAAACTCTGATACAAACTTATTAAATAATGTTTGAGATTTAAATTATTGAAATTGGGATTTCTTTTAAAAGAATTTTGAGAAATTCTTTTTATAAAACTTTACAATTTTGTAATCCTTAAGGGTTAAACCTTAGGTTGCTATAATTTGGAGTCAAAACGTGCTTTAGTAAGGGAAAATTTATGGTTTAGTCTTAGGGAGTTACAAATCTCCCCATCTCTTCCACATTTATGAGTTTATGGTTAAGGTTTAATAGTGGAAGTTAATTTTCAGTCCTTATAAGTTATGGGTTTGAATCTATTGGCTCAACTAGAGTTAAATAGGAGTAGATTAGAGTATCTAAACCTATGTATAATGAATTTTAGTGTCTTGAGTTGTTGGACACCATAAATATCCAAAATTTGTATTAATGTGGGTTGTTGGAAGAGTGTGATGCCATTAATGGAAGTTTAGTGGCTTATTAATGTTATTGGGGACTAAAGATAATTAATAAACCTAATGAATAGGCTCAAACTCATGTAAAGTGGGTATTGAGCAATTTAGAAGTGAGAAATAAGAGTTGAATGATTGAGTTTGGGTAATGTTAATGAAAGTTAACTTGGTAAATTATGGATTGAGCTCTTGGACACCTATTTGGCTTGAGAATTTAAGCTTGGAAGCTATTACATTGAGGGGTAGACCTTTGCCTCTCAAATGTTTAAGGTAACCAAGGGAACCCTACTTTGGGTAGTTATATGTTAATTAATTGTTTATTGTAAAGTTGTGAACACTACATGCATGAATTGATTTCTAATGTTTGAAAACATAATTGTCCATAATGTCATATTTGGCTTGAAATGTGAGGTGTGAAATCAAGATGGTTTTCAAACTATGGATGTGTATATGTTTTGGGAAGATGAATGTGATATTGTGTTGAGGTACATTCGTGTTAATAAAGAAATAGATTAGTGTGATAAGTAAGGATAATCTTGTGAAATGTTATTGGATGCTCATTTGAGTAGTGCATGATCACGAACCCAACATGTGATTGTGATAAATAATAAATGAAAATGTGAAAATGAGTGAACATCATTTATGGCATGATTAGCGGGCAAGAGTTCGCTTAGTGATTAGGAGTAAAGAAAAATCTATATGGTATTTAGGCTACCCTCCAATGCACGAGGGTATAGCCTTGTCCCACAGTTTGTCGAAGGACTATCCTATAATTTGTCGAAGAACTAAAACCTAGCTATGTCTACCAGTTCAATGAGGAGAATAGCCCAGGATATGAGACACTCTAGAGATTCGAGAGTAGGGGAAGCCATAGTTTGAGAGTGAGCTATGTGATCTTTAGTCGAGTCACACCTCACGATTGGTGATCTTGGGTAGTCCAATCACATGAATGGAGCACTATTCAATATTATAACCACGATTTCAGTCTAAGGAAATAAGAAAGATATGAGGTTGGTTGATCATTGCCTATGTAAACTTACAACGTGTCACACGATCTAAATTGTGGCAAGTCGTGTGATAAATCAGGTCATGGTCACATGTTTAAGTGTCTTGTGATTATTTTCCCAACATGTGTGAGATAAAAATGTGATAACTGGATTAATAAGTTATTATATGTGTTAAAGCATGTTCTAAGTACTTGATTTCATAAGCATGTGTTTGATTTACAATTGATATATAACTGCATAAAGTATATTTTACCTTGATTACTGAGTGGCTAAATTTACCCTTCTTCTTTAATACTTTTCAGGCTCTAGCTCTGGTGCTGAGAAGGACAAAGCTACTGAGGCCTAGGAATCTGCGTATTCCTTTAGTATGCCTCTTGTATCTATTTATTTTGTGTAATAGCATACAATTGCTAATTTTAGGTTGCATATAGTTGCACTTACACTATTTTGTTATTGAAAATGTTTGAATTGTATTTTGGGTCCTGAGTATTTGTGTATAAAGAGATATATATGTCAATAGGGCCAAAACACTAGTGCAAGTGTAGAAATAATATTTTGAACATGTTTTAATTGGTTTTGATGCAATGCAAAGCAAATTTGCCTCCCCCTCTATTTTTGGTAAAAAAAAAAGGTTGAGGAGTGACTTTACGATATACTGGTGTTTAAGTGTGTGTGATGTGTTATACTAATAGTCCTAAGTCTAATGGATATGGTTCAGGTGTAGGAAAAGCTTTTGACACTTGTTGTAGGTTTTGGACATCCTTGTTGTGGGAAAGTTGTGAAAAATGGTCAAAATGTATTTGAGTGTCTAACTTTCTGGTGTGACTTATTTTAGAAGTGAAACCCATCCCATTAACTAGTTTATGTAAAGAGCTTTCCATAAATACCTAAATCATGTCATTCGAATGTTAGACAAAGAATCGAACAAATGACAACAGAATCTGCTGATATTTTGTGCAACATGCCATGGTGCATCGTGCACGAGCTGCAGCATATTGCCTTATTTCACAGTAAAGGAGTTATTTTTTAATTGTTTTCATTCTTTTCACTCCTCTAAGATATCCCCTACTTTTGTAACTTATTTTTACTCTGATATATAAGATTATAATTGATTTAAATTCATTTTGATTAAGAAAACTTGGGATCACTTAATTTTGAACTAAAACTTGGTAATCGTCTTCATGG